TTTCCTCTCACCTCCATCATGGAGACAAAAAAACAGGTATGATTTTTTACTTTGTGATCCAAAGATTGGGAAAATCTTATTTTGCCAAATTAGTATTGTATGAAAAAGCAGTATTGGCCACCGTGGTGGATAACTGACGTTGGACCTGATCCTGTCAGACCTCTTAGTGGCGGTCAGTACCGTCAACCGCGGTCTTCTTTCGGACCACCTGTGAGGATTAGGGGCTGGGGCGCTATTTCACGGCGGTGCCGTTCCAGTATGATTTCACTGGCAGCGGTAGGAGAGAGGAGGTCAGTCTGGTGGATGCTGGGTTGTGGGGTGTCTGGGGTTTGGTCATGCTGCGCACGCTGATGATACGCAGCCACACCTCTCCACCCCAGGCTGGCTGGAGATGCTGTAGAAACCTGGAAGCTGTTGGGTTCTGGATGGAATAAATAGGCTGGGGCAAGAGGGAAGTTGTTGGTTGTTCAGAACGGATATCTTTGGCTCTTGTAAGGTGGCATTCTTCTTGAAGGAGGACATTGGCACCTTGGGGCTCCTCCTGAACTCCCCACTGCTAATGGGTGGGCAGGGGGAGGTCATGGCCAGGGGGAGCTTTGCTCAGGCTTGGCCTGTGCACAAGCGGTGGTCCTACCTGGAGCTGAGAGCCTTAGTGGTAGTAACTCCGGCTCTAGGGCTACGTGGGGCTGCCTTGGAGGCCTCCCTGAGTCGGTTCAGAAAGCAGCAGCCCGTTTACTGGTGATCATATGGCACTGGTGCTGTGTGGGTTGTCAGGACGTTTCGAGGTGCAGTTCAAACTGCTGGTTTTATGCTATAAGTCTATGCGACTTGGCTGCTAAGCTCCTGCAGGAGCACCTTCTCCAACTGGAATTAAACCTGTCGAGTGTGTGCTTTCCAGCATAATGGGCGGGCTGTATGGATTTTATTTTCTGTGTTTACTGTTCTTGTTGACATCTCAATCACGGAGAGTCCTTGCTGATTACAGTAGTATATAAAACAAATTCTTGTGCTCCCCCATACTTAACACAAATCAATGCATCGGAGGTAAATAATGGAGATTAGTCAGATCAGGGTTTGTGTCTCTAAAGACCCTCTGGCCAATAAGATGGGGGTGGGTGGGGAATTGGAGCTGTTCTTTGCATATCACAGAAGAAGAGAGAAGGTAGTGAAGCATGTTTTTCCATAAAGAGGATGACAACATTGGAGCTGGCTTATGAGAAAGGTACCAAATCTTAACATGTAGATTTCAGCTATGCCTCTCCCGTTCCAACGCTGGCACAAGGAGTGTTTCAGGAGTTTGCTGATTTCACCTGTCAGAATAATACCTTGGATCACTGGGATCCTCAAGAAAAAAAATGGCTGGATGGGAGAGGATGGCTTAGCGGGGTAGGGGATTTCCTCGAGTGGGGGCTGTGCTGCGCCCCGAGGAAGTCCCAGTCGTGTTAGATTCTGCCAGGCCTGCTCCAAGCCTCCGTTGTGTCCAGAGAGGGAGGGAGACTGACCAGACCAGACCAGACCAGACCAGACAGTGGGTTGGGAGGAGTTGGCTGCAAGCTAGAAATGCCGCGGTAGGTGAATACGTGTGTCTCCTCCTCCTGCTCTCCTGGTGGAAACGTGCCATGGGTACGGAGGCTTGCCTTCCTGTCCTCCTTGCAAAAGAGTCCGTTTGGGCTGCCCCAGATCTGATAGCACCTGGCCCAGCTGGGAGGAAACTGTGCCTCTTTACCCTTAACTGAGGTTCAGAGTAAGAAAGGAGATTTCCAAACGTTGGTTCTTGCATTTCCTCCGGCCCTTTTAAACCCTGACGATCAGGAACTACCAACAGTTAAAAAATAGAGAAATCGGGCAGCTCGTAGAGCCCAGGACATTTCGGCCTAGGTCTTCCCTTAAGCGCTGCCAGTTTTCCCCACTCTCTCTCCTGTGCTCCTTTTGCATCCCTGTTGAAGGACCCAAGCATGTGCCTGTGGCTGCCTGCACTGAGGGCATTACTGAACAGAATGCACAGATGTAGCTTGGCTAGCTTGCAGGAAACATCTGGAAGGGGTTTACCTTTTAAGCGCTGCCTTTCTTCCTTTGCTCACCTGACTGCTGGCGGAGGCATACCTGTGGGCTCAGAGAGGAAAATTGCTCTGGGCATTTTAGGGTTCTTGTTTCTCACAGGACAGACTTGAGGGGCTTGGCCTGTTGCCAGTCATGCCTTCAAGATCATGCTTGTTGACACGATCGGGATCCATTGCTGACCTGCCACATTCCTTCCATTTGTCAAGCAGAACAATCATCCCAGTGGCAATAAAGGAAGGAAGGAATGATGAAGGTAGATGGCAAGCTTAGGCAAGCGGATGATCCTGAGGAGCTCATTCCCAGCGAGGACAGGGAATGGCTGAGCCGCAGAAGTAGGCATGGCGAGGAGCGACAGGAGCACCCCTCCCAGCTCCTCAAACAAACCCTCCCAACATCAAAGGACAGCACTGGCTGAGTAAGAAGAGTTCCTCCCGGGAAGGCCTGGGATTAATTGCCTGACACAGCCCTTCAGAGGCTACCCCAGTCTGGTGCGAGGGAGGGGTTGCAGCTCGGTCTCCAGTGGAGCCTTTGCTCAGCCTCCAGAAAGCTCTGGGTCACCGTCAGGTGGCCCAGAAAAGCTCTGGCTGAACTCCAAAGAGCTGTAGCTACCAGTCGGTGTCAAGAAAACTGAGGTGGAGTGACCACAAGTCAGATTTTGTATAGGGCAGCCTTGGTGTTTCTTTGCACGAGACCGCAGATGTAATTTTGGGCGGCCTCTCCACCTGGCCGCAGGTAATGTTTTGCCGAGGCCTTCGAGCATCACTGGGCATCGCTGGGCTTGCTGGACCAGCTTCAAATCTTCCCAAATCTTTGGCCCTCGCCAGTTTAAGAACGTATCCTCCTGATATAAAACGAACATTGTCTTCCTCTTCTACATTTCTTTTCCCTCTGATTTCTCTTTTCCAACCCATGTCCAACTATTGGCATATATATGTTGGTATGTATTAATAATGCAAAGTATTTTTTTCATATTTCATTTATTAATTAGATTTATATCCTGACTTTCCTCTAAGGAGCTCGCTTTATCCACACAACACCTTTCTCTAACTGAGAGTAATCTCCATGCGTCTACTATAAACCACGAAAGCTCCTGCCAGAATGAAATAGTCTTTTCTAACAAAAGACGGCAACTGAATGCAAGTACACAACTGCTTCCGATCTGGTTCTTTCCCCTCTTCTAGGCCCACTACAAAAAAGGGCGTTCCCTAAGCTCCGTAGGTTGCTTAAAAGGGAATCGGCTAAAGCTGGTTAGGGCTAACTGGGCGTTAATAATTAGCCTGATCCCGGGCAAAGAACTTGAGATGCCCTTGGGCTGAGGGCCGCGGGGTGGCGTAGAGCTAGAGCGCAACCCTGATTTTCCAGTGGCTGGGTTCGGGTGGGGAAGCGTGGCGGGAAGGGCCTCTCGGCGTGGAGGGATCTTACTCCCGAGACCGAAGCCGTTGCACTTAAGGAGGGAGGAAAATCCCCCCGCGGACCTTCAGCGCTGCCCTTGTAAGTGGCAGAAGGCCGCCTGGGATTCCCCGAAGCACATCTGCACAACGTGGGTCTCTTGTTTACTACTTCCCCATGGGGCGCGAAGCTGAATTAGAGCCCTCCGTGCAGTCCCACGAAATGCAGTAGTCCAAGTGCAGCCTCTCCCACGCACTGTCAACGTTAGCTTTCTGACACAAGGGTGGTCAGACCTTTGAACGTTTTCTCCGAGTAGCAGTCACGCTGTTGTAATTTTCACCACCAGCACCAGCAGCCGTGGCAGGATTGAGCTGGGTGCACCCGCGCTGGCCTCGGAGCTCATTCTCTGCACCGTAGCTGCGGTGGATCGGGGAGGTCGGGATAGTACCAAGCGGCCCTCGGGGGTCTTTCCGTCCTCCCTCACCCTACTGCGGACGGTAGCCTCTCTACCTCTGCTGCCCTAGGGGGAGTTGGCGTCCCAGTATGAAGGGGCGATGGGTGGTTTGTGGAGGAGACACAGTGAACCCGCCCCCCTTTTGCAAATTAAAAAGGCAAAAGATGGAGATAAATATATTTAGAGGAGATCTGTAATTAGGGACGTGAAGGGACGCAGGAGTTATATGAAGGTGTTGGGGGAATTGAATCCCCGTATGCTATATGCCTGTGACTTGCTTTAGAGAAATCTAAATTTATGGAACCTTGTCTGCAGAATATGAAGGGCTGAAGCCCAATTCTGTTAGGATATCTCACAGTAGCCTTGCTGAGGAAAGAAGTCACAGCAATGTTTTCTGTGGGTTACATCGCCCGCATCAATCTCACCCTCTCTGTAGTTTTGAATAGGCGGATTTATTTGGAGGATCCGCCTCAAGGCCAGAGATGCTTGCAAATTGCATCAAAGCCGGCTGGAAACTCAGTCTCACACTAATAGCAGGTTGCTGCCTCCTAGTGATCAGGAAAAGCATGGGAAATTCTGTGCTGGAAAACAGAATTATGGTTCAAGTTAATTCCGCTGTTGGAAATTGGCCTTTTGCAGCATGGCAGATTAGAGTCTATAGCTGTCTTTTAAGTTGCCTTGGACAGCCGCTCCGCATAAGAAAGGCACGAAGCTTTGGAGTTACTGCGATACGTTCTGTGAAATCGGAAAGTTTCGTCGTCTAAGCATCACTTCCTTCTCTTGCAGACGCTAGCCTTTTGGATTTGTCAGTATCTACTGAATGGGAGATACTGCTTTATCGTTTTTAGAAAAAGAAGGTGCTTCTTGAAAATTGGCAGGAGGACTTAAGTACGCTGGCCAGGGTGTTTTAGAATGGTTAGAATACAACATCCCCCTCCAAAATGGAGATGTGGCTCCAATTTGTTGCTCTTTTGTTAGTGGGATATTTTTAAAAATCTCATCTTCCGTGTCTAGGCGGCCAAGCGTATGAAAGTCATGCTACTAACTCATGAAATAAATAGAACTTTACAAATAAGCAACTTTAGCAGAGCCTTCAACATTTAATGCTTAAGTGAGCAGCAGCGGGGGAATACCGAGGCCAAAACGCATTGGTCCGGTTAGAACGGTCCCGTGTGGTCCACCCTGAGCATAACTGCATCTCCATGGGGCAGGATTCTCTCGTCGTCATTCCGGCTTTATGACTCTGAGGCCCCTTCTCCGTTTGTTCTCTGCAGGGGTAGTAAAAATGTTTAAAAGGACACCCCCCGCCCCCCAGGTAGAGTGCTCAAGCAGAGAAGGGAAAAGAAGGTGCAAGTAAAGGGAGCGTTTGAGAACCAGTGTTCAGTTGCACACAACGTCACCCTCACACCCCAAAGCTTTTATTGTAGCCAAAGAAAGAAGAATGAGATACTCCAAGGGGGGGGGGGGGGGACAGCAGAAAGGGACACTTGGTGAGGCCTGCAGCGTCGGTCCTGTTGGATATCTGGCCCGTCTGTGAGAAGTTGGCGAGACTGTGACAGACAGGGGAAGATGCTGCAGTCTCTCCTGGCCAGGTAACGAGTAACGCAAGACTTCTCTTAGAGGGGCCTTTGTTTAAAGGGGGAAAGCACGGCCCTCTCTGCAGTCTCCAGTCGTCCCATCCACCAGGATACGAAAGAGCGTCTGAGCCCAACCCCGAGAGCACGCTTTCCGGGCGTCTGCCAAGAGGAGGGTGAAGAAGCGGCATGCTTTTGCCTGGCGTGGTCATCTTCTGCAGTGGCACCGGCGTCCCTGAATCGAACTGGAAAACAGCCTGATTCTGGGGCAGGGACACTCGTTTGCAGAATGGGATGAAACAGAGACCCGGCTGCTCACCCCTCGTTTAAAGGTTGTGGAAATACCTGAGGTGCGCCCCCCTCTCTCGAAGAGGCAGTCAAGGCAGAAGCCTCGTTGACCCACGGTTACCCCATTTCCACGCTCTGAAGCCTTCCCCCTGTGGTTCTAATGCAAGACATCTAGTTTGGCCATCAGAAACAATAAGGCCCCTTGGAGAGAGATCCTGATCGAGTCTCCTGAGAATTCCTGTATCGAGGTTTTTAGGAAGTCAGTGGCTTGCGAGCCGTGAGATCCAGTCCTGTCTCTGGGCCCTGGGGGAAAAATGAAAAAACAGCCCAAGGTTAGTTCCACGGTGACGAGGGCTGGCCTGCTTTGCTCCACTAGCAAGCGGGAGTGGGAAGAGGGCGATTCACTGCCTCTGCAGCGAGGGAAGAGGAGCACAGCCCTTCCAGCTGCGAAAGGGATCGTCCTGACTTCCGGCAAGCAAGTGGAGCCATCGGGGTGTGGCTCGGCAACAACAAGGAAATGGATTGCCGTCGGTCTGTTTTGCTTTTGCTTCTCTGCAGTCTACACCACTGGGATTTCCTGCTGGTTTCATGTCCAGCCCAAACCAGGTCTGACCTGCTCAGCTCTTTTGAGACCATCCAGGGCTGGCTAGGCGCTCCCGCCACTTGTGACACTGTTTTGTAAGTTGCTCTAGAGTGACTACATCCAGATTAATAAGGGGGAGTCGTGTCCTGCCCGGTGGTCTAGAGTCCTCTGGTTATCAAATGTATCTTAAATTATAAATATCTCTCATTTACTTGGGAGGAAGATAGCTATCTAGCTCCAGGTCACTCACTCGGTGTCTGCCTTGAGGATCAGCTCTCTGCTTTCATCTCTGTAATTCTGGGAAATGCAGAGGTAGAAACTCCATTCTGGGAGCCCCAAGGATTTTGCTCTGAAAAGCTCAGCTTTAATATGACAGGTCCAGGCGTAGTCCTTCACTAAGAAGCGTCCATCTCTGGAAGGGAGAGAAAGAGGGAGATATTTTAACATTTGTGGCAATATTATAAGATTTCCTTCACCTAACGGACAGATTTTCTTGGAATTCTGATTACTAAATTGCCTAGGTGAGTTTCTGTCGCCTAGAAAGCACCTTTTTTGGAGGGGGGCACTTACTCCTTGTGGTGAGAGAGCAGCAGTAAGTCATTGAAGAGGTGCAGGTGGATGGGCTTCATGCTCAGGTGGGGCCGGTAGCTGAGCCCTGCTTCCTGGACCAGGACCTGCAAGAACTCTCCTTCCTGAACCAGCCAGCGGCCCTGGCTGAATAGAGGAAGGGCCTGGAGAAAGAAGGGATCCACGTTTAGCTTCGTTAAGGAAAATACTAGAGCACAAGGTGACAGCTCTCAGGACTTCTGTTCCTAGCTCTAAGCAGGCCGTGGGACAGAGAATCTGATCCTGGCTTCGTTGAGCAGGTGGGGCCTGATGGGACTAAAAGGAGTGGAGGAAGGTGCTGCTACGGACTGAGCGGGACTTTGGGCTTATGCGTCAGCTCTCCCTCCAAATAAGCGTACGTTTCCCCCTTCAAAAAACAAAGCAAAACAGACCATTGGTAAGAGAGTGGATCTTAGTATTTCCATCATAATTTTCCTTTGAAGTAAAATTGAGAACCGTTTTAGATTGCAAATATTTTGCCAGCTATTTGACTCTGGCACTGAAAGAATGATGGATGAAAATTCAATACACTTTGTTCTCTCCATGTTACAAAGACTGGCAGCCCCGTTGCCCTGTTGGCAGAGAAACAGGCATTGATATGTAGGTGAGTAGAAAGATGAAAACAGAATATAGCAGAAACGCAACTGTTCTGGATCAGACCAGGATGGGTCATTTTCTAGTCCACCATCCTGCTAGTCAGGCACTTAGTATAACAAAAAAAAGAATTTTCTCTTCTGCTCGACTGCTGTGAAAATGCAGGTACGGTAGCTTCTGATCATCTCGTACTGTATATTAAGTTGTCTAGTCCCCCCCATCCCACCCCTCCCCCAGTATTTATATCTGTCATTATATGTGTGGTGCATACATGATAACTATATCTGATAACTATCATGATAACTGCATACATGATAACTCTTGACATGTAGGGAAGCTCGACTCACTTTGACCTTGGAGAAGTCCATCCGTTTTTCCAGCATCACCAGTTCCTCTTTCTGTTTCATGAGCCGGAGGTTCTCGTTGCACTGGGACACAATCTGAAAAGGACAGCACTAGCTTTGTGGGTGCAGGCTGAGTCGCCTCACAATCCCAATCAGGGAAGAAAACTGGAAAAAGAAGCTAGAGAGGGCAAACACGGAAGGATCTCGCCACTCGTCTTTCGTCCGTGAGCGCTTACCTCCCCCACAGCCTTATGGGCCAAGCCAACTGATTTTGCCAGCTCAGAATCGGGTCCGGTCCATTTCAGGATGTTCTGACATGGGGGGCGGGGGGGAAGAAGCACAGGAGTGTCAAACAGTAACGAGTGGAGGAAGACCCCCGATTCCCTTCCCCCACTTCTCCTAGGCAAGAAAAGCCCCTGGGGCTGAACATCCCCCCTCCTCACTTCGGGAGAGCCAGGTTAAGCCGCAGCCAGGGCTGCTTCTCCCCGAAGGAGTCGGGCACTCGGTCTGGGTGATCGTCCAGCCCCGTGCAACATGTACAGAGAACCCCGTCAGCCCCACCAAGCCAGTACAGCCAACTCCCGCTACGCAGGGCCAAGCGGACGAGGCGGAGGCTTTCGTGGCATTTTCCAGGTCGTGCTGCTCTTCTCTAGGCACCAGATCAGCCGCTGGGTCTTCTTTTGGGGTGACCCGGATAGCCTTGTCTTGGCTCGGAAACTAAGCAGGGCCAAGCCTGGTTCCCACTTGGACGGAAAACTAGCAGGCCGCAGGCTGTGCCCGGAAGAAGGCAGCGGTAAACCCCTTCTGCACTGTGGCCCAAACCCTGCACGGTTGTATCCGTGCAGACGGCAGCAGCTGAGCCCAACTCAAAGGTTTCTTCACCTTAAAACCGAAAGGGAAATAAACAGCTGTAACGGGCCAGGCGGCTTTGCAAATCTGATGAAGAAGCGGCCGCCCCACCTGCAGTAAGATTTTGAGCCGAGTGATCCTCTGGAAGGGTAGCACCAGGAAGGATTTCAAGGGCTGCCTCTGGCAGACGGGCTGCTCCTCCAGTTTGCACAGGACCCGGAGGAAGCGGCCGGGCCTCTTCCTGGCTCGGTGGAGGGAACGAAGGAAAGGATGAGGCTCTGGAGGCACTCCAAGTGCTAATGCAGACACCGAAGTGATCTGAGCTTGGCCGCGTGCAGGACGCGAGGCTAGCTCTGTTGAATCAGGTCAAGCCTCCGTCCAGCCCACCGTCCAGCGTGCCCACCGTCCAGCCTCCAAAAGTGGA